TTATTAATATTATTATTATTATTATTAGTAGTAGTAGTAGGCCTATTATTAATATTATTATTATTATTATTATTATTATTATTATTATTATTATCATTATTAATATTATTTCATTTTATATTTTTGTTGCTTTTTTATTACATATATTTTGTTCATCTTTGGATGCCCGTGTGCTGTTATAAAAGTGTAATATAACAAGTACTGTACCGGTATACACGCCATCACACAAAATAACTAGAGAGGGCGGTATAAAACATTGCAAAACAGTTGCAAAATAAAAACAAAAATGGCCACACCAGATGAAGGGGACAAACTTGACCCAAGGGTTAAAGTAAGTCCATAATTTTGTTAAATACGATAGTTAACAAAACTATAAAACATACATTATTTTACTTGGATAATGTTGGGCTTTATTAATGGTTTGTTCATTGTTGAAAGTTTGCCTAAACTAGGCCTAGTCCTAGGCAGGTCTCTAATAAAAGACTAGCTAGGCCTAGCCTAGGCTAGGCCTAAGCCTTCTACTTACTACTACTAGGCCTAGGCCTAGCACTACTCTCTAGTAGTAGGCCTATCCTATTATTACTACTACTAAGCCTAGCCTACTACTAGGCCTAGCACTACTCTCTAGTATTAGGCCTATCCTATTATTACTACTACTAAGCCTAGCCTACTACTAAGCCTAGGCCATGCAGGCTCTACTAGGTAGACCAACCTACTACTAGGCCTAGCTAGGTACCTAGGGGAAGGCCCCATACTATTCTACCACTAGGCCTAGGTAGGTGATAGGCTAGCCTAGGGCCGGGCCTATATGGTTCTGCCTAGGCATAGCCTAGTAATCTATTACAGTAGGGCCTACAGTAGCCAAGGCCTACTAGCTTACAGGTAGGCCTGAGATCTAGACTAAGTAGCTAGAAGCACATAAAAAATTGTCTTTTAATTGACTTCAAATATAGTTTCACATTAATTCAATGGAAAGAACACAAAGATGTGAGTAACCTACTGTTTAGATGGTTGAAAAATTGGTTGAATATTTACAGAGTTATTTTTTCCCCCATTTACGCACGTTGGCATGCATCGCGCATGCATCCTAGCTAAGCCAACACGCAATGTCTCCTTGCTCTTCACATGCTCTGGTAGGCTATGCGATGACACATCACTCTTATCGCGGCCTTGAGTGGCTCAGACTCTACCTAGTCTAGGGTATTTAAACACTCGGGGCATAGAGTTTTATTACGTTACATCAAAATCATCATTATAGAGAGTTAATAGTTTTTGCTATTTTCATATTTGTTATATGAGAATGAGTTATTTTCTATTTCATTTATTAAAATTGGAAATGTTCTAAACATATCACCTTCAAGTCTTTTGAAGGTGGAAGTTCCATCTTCTGAATTTATCTTAGGTCATCGTCCAAGTGTTTGTTTTTATTAATACCCAATCAGAGTCCAGGAAAAGGCCCCATGTTATCCCTATTTTTTCCCCCGATATGGTAACATTTTCCTATTTGGAATTTTGACAAGCGCCCTCACACGGATGTGATCCTAGCTACCCTAGGCCTAGTTAGCTACTGTAGACCTAGGCAAGGCCTCCTGTCTGTAGGTAGCTGTAGCCTAGCTTATTTATATTTATAATATTATAATATGCCTAGTGTAGGTCCCATACTGGGAAGCAGCTCATCTTGGGAAGCAGGTCAACTCGGCCACAAGTCAACTCGGCCACAAAAAGTTCAGCTGCAGTCAACTCAGCCACAAGTCAACTCGGCCACAAGTTATTTATTATTAAAATGAAATGTAAATATTCCAGTTTCTGCATCCTTTTTAGTACACAGTATATTTTAGTAAAATTCTGATCATCGTCTCATCGTCGTGAGATCGTTGTATACATTTCTACACACTGTACTCTTATTCAACAGAGAAAACCTGCCACTTACAGAATGGAATAAAATCTGACAATTGTAACATTAACAATTTAAGCAATCTTAATAATTAAGAAAAACACATATATTAATGTTTAATCTTGTTCACGTTAAAACACTGACCTAAAACATGAGTACATACTGTAGACCTAATCATAAAAAATTGAAATAGAAAAACCACATTATGATTT